TGCAACTATCTTGGCTTTAATTATTAAAAAATATATTTAAATTTCTTTCTTTTTCCTGAGGAGACTGGTGAGGCTCCGCCTCCCTTGCCTCTAGTGACTGCACGTCCCTGATAAAGAGGACAGACTTCATATCCTTTCAGTGATGGCTTGAGGGAAAATAGTCCGGCATCCAGAGACACTGAGTTCCTGAAAAGTCACTCTGCAATGCTCAGTGCATCAACTATGCCAGCAAATTGATTGATATCCTCTATTCATTTGCATGTCGGGGAAGGAGAAATTAAAGATGGAAGTTTATTTTTAGTCCAAGACCACTCAGGTAAAAAAAATATCAAACACAGAAGGAGAAATCTATTCTGCTGAAAAACAGCTTTTCCCCCTTCCAGTTTTTACTCTGCCTCTCCTGCCTGTCTATATTAGAGGGAACAAGCATGAGGAGAAGAGCACTTCTATCAATAGATGCTGATTGTGCAGGCCTCCAGAGCATCTATGACAGATTTACCAGTTGCAAACTGTAGTCATGAATCAGACTGGTTAAGGATTCCATGTAAAGCTTTCCAGTCTTGACAGCACTTACGCAAAGCCGGTTTGATAAGTGAAGTGACAGGCAGCATGAGTTCTAATAATTATTCTCTGCATTTTTGATGTTGAGGTTGTCGATGTAACCAAACTGACACCACTTACCCAACACAGAGAGAGCTTAGCAGGCTCCAGGATTCTTATTTTGGCAGATGTTAAAACACACATACAGTTACACCTACAACAGCACACTCCAATGGTGGCTGAGTATTAGTGCTCATGAACAGCTAACAGCAGTTGGGGCACAGAATGGTGTGCTCTGGAGAAGCCTGAATAAAGACTGATCAACATTATACTCTGGGTCCAACTTTTTTGTTCTATTTCTAATATTAGGACATGATCATTTTCATTCAGTCAAAAGGGCAACATCAATGAATGGGAGCAAGCCAACAGCAAAGGATAGGATATCCCCATGGTGGCTAACCTATGACATGTGTGCCACAGGAGGCACATAGTGCCCTCTCTGTGGGCATGCATGCTGTAACCCCAGTTCAGCTCTGCTATGCTTGTGCATGCGCTTCCCTCCGGCCAGCTGGTCTTCAGGTCTCTGCCACGCATGTGCAGGGGCAGGGCACGTGCAGGGGCCATGTGCACATGCCTGGGAAGTGGGGCAGATTTGGGGGGCCATGTGCATGTGCACAGGGGGCAGGGCACATGGAGGAGGGGCATGTGCAGGAGTGGGACACATGCAGGGGGTGCATGCACAGGGGCAGGGCCCATGCTTGGAGACCAAGCATGCACGGAGAGGGGCATATGCAGATGGGCCACACATGCATGCGCATGGGATGGGGTGCATGTGCAGGGTCCTCACACGCATTTTGGGGGGTTGGGCATGCACGTACGCATTTGCGCACATGCACATGCTTTGGGCACTCCGTCTGTAAAAGGTTAGCCATCACTGGGATATCCCAAGGTGTAGAAAGAATACCAACAATTTTTGAAAGATGAGGGGAAAACGTTATTTAGTGTGGACCGAATATACTTAATGACCCACATAAGGTGGCTTATAGGGCTGGAAGGTGGTTCAGAAATTAGATTCAGAACTGAGTCAGGGTATTAGAGTAAATCAGAATCTGAATGACTGCAATTAATGATGCATTTAGAGGAAAGATGTTGGATATTATTACATCTCTTTATAGACATAAAGCTCTATTTTTGCTCTGCTCCGAGCTTAGCCAGTCTAAAACTCCTGAGCTTATTGCAAGAGAAGAAAGTGCCTGTGTGTTGTGTACCTTGGTCGAAGTGTTTGCTGTGAGCAGAATGTCCATAAAGTTTGTAATCTGCGTTCTCAATAACGTGTGCGTGTGATCTGGTATGTGCAATGCATTCAGCAGCTTCAAACCAGCAATTTGCAGATTGTTGTCCCAGTTGCTCGTCACAGTCTCGATGATTTGGGGGACATATTCCTGTGAAGAAAGATACATAAGAAGAATTGATAATCCATCTATCTTTGAGACGCAATGTCAGTAGTTGACTTTTGACTTTTTAAAGATACATCTCTAAAGTATTCTTTAGATACTTTTTCAACTTTAGCAACTTTAAGATGTTCCACTTCCAAAATTCCCTAGCCAGCACACTGGCTTTAATTTAAAATTTGTGAATTAAAAAAAAAAGAAAAAAGAATCAATACTCCTTGATCATAGCGCCTTCTACTGGCAGCTGAAAGAATGTCTTTTCATTGACAATTTAAATGTAATTTCAATGGAACGAGATTTTTGTTTTAGCTTTTAAAAACGGGTGTCAGCCTCCCCAAAACAATTTGTTCCCTTTTTATTTTGATTTTTGGAAACATTTAGTGAAGGTGTGTGTATATATTTACTTTTTTCTTTTTCTTTTTAGTTTCAGCCCAGTATGGCTTCTCTTGTGTTGTAAAAGCCAAATATATTAAATATACCTCTAAAAGGAGGCAGATACTTACTAAATTGAGTAACTCACTCATAGAGAAAGAAAAGTATAGAAAACTGGTGCCAGAAAAAGACCTAGTGGTCCTTCAAGTCTCCCTTTTGAATTTTTTCTTTTTTTGTCAGGTGATGGGCATGTGTTTATCCCAAGCATGGTTAAATTAGTTACAAATGATTGACCCATTACCTCCACTGGAAGGTGTTTCCAAGCTTCCACTACTCTGTCTGTGAAGTAATACTTTGGAACATTACTTTTGAACTTCCCTTCTTGTACATGAAAAGCATGTCCTTCCTCAAAGGAACAGTATTTTATCCATCAAATAGATTGATCTAATATACATAAGTGGAAATTTAAAATTGGATAACTATATTGTAGTTCTGACTTACAATTACTCTACATTTGTAAGAGAACAAGAAATAAGCAATTCATAAGAGGTTTTCTTTCATTGATTGTTTATGAATGCATTGCATTTCCTTGTGGATCTCTTATTTTTTCCCCAGATTATATTTAAATATAACTTTATTATTCACAAGCTTCATAAGTTTTTTATTCACAAGTTTTTTTGTTATGAATGAGCTGTAAATTTTATTGGCTGTTTGGAATTCCTTTAAGGTAGGTATGTTTGTATGTGTGTTTGTGTGTGTGTGTGTGTATGTTTGTTTATTATACTCTATAAAAAGAAAAATTGGCAAGTGGAAACAGGAAAAAAAAATTAAGCATTTATGCAGATAATTCAAAATCCCAATTACACATAGCATTTATTCTTGCTGCATAGAAATACAATTGCCTCTATGTTTTGAAACAAATCACTGAATGATATAAAGCAGTGGTGGCAAACCTTTTTCTCCTCAAGTGCCAAAAACATGTGCACCGGGGGTGGGTTCCTGCCAGTTCTAACCTCTTCTATAGAAGAAGTTTCACAAATCTACAGTGCCATTAGAACAGGTTCCAGCTCCCTTCCCCCGCCTGTCCGCACATCAAGATGAAGAGCGAGAGGAGGAATTCTGGGAGTTGAAGTCCACAAGTCTTAAAGCTGTCAAGTTTGAATACCCCTGGGGTTTTTTCTAAAGGGTTAGGAGTGCAAGGGTCTTGTAACTTGACAGCTTTAAGACTTGAACACTTCAATGCCAGAGTTCCTGAGCCAACATTTTGGTTGCTAAGCAAGAGCATTGTTAAGTGAGTTTCAACACATTTAATAAGTTGGCCATGCCCACCCAGTCACATGACTGCCAAGCCACTCCTCTCAGTCACATGGCTGGCAAGCTACTCCCACCTGGTCACAAGGCCGGCAAGCCACTCCCACAAAGCAGGCCACACCTACAGAAGAGGTTCTAAAATTTTTTGAAACCCACCGATGTGCACCCACGCTATCATCGTGCCTCCTGTGCATGCTCACATGATTACCATCGCTGCTCGTGCATTCGCACACGGCTTTCTTGGAGCCTGTGGAGAGCAAAAATGGCCAGCCTTGCCTCCCCAAGGACCTCCGGAGGCAAAAAAAAGGCCCATTTTCTGACTTCCAGTGGGCCCGGTACGTCCCTTTTTCGCCCTCCCCAGGCTTCAGAGGCTTTTTAGAAGACTGGGGAGGGCCAGCAACAGCCCATTTTCTGACTACCTGAAGTCTCCGGAGGGCAAAAAATGGCCAAAAATCAAGGCTGAAAATCCAACGTGTGCATGTGTGCTGGAGCTGACAGGGCCATGCCTTGTGTGTCCTCAGAAATGGCTCCACGTGCCACCTGTGGCACGTGTGCTATAGGTTCGCCATCACGGATATAAAGTAAAAGTATTGGGAGCAAACTAAAAGTAAAGGTAATTACTAACCATTCATCCGAAATAGTTGCAACCATGTAATCTTTATTATATAAACCACACAGAATGCCCAGGAAATAGAGAGATAGATAGTTTGAGTCAATAAATCAACTTTTGTTTTTGGGCTGCACTTCTATTTTGCCAAAGAATAATAGATATTGCTACAGAAAAAACTACTGATTATCCTTACATATTTTGAGACTTATTTTGACTTTTCTGCCCCAGCACATTTCAAAATCCAAAATGATGCTTTTTAAAGGTCTTTCCAAGTTTCTTTAGTGAGGTTTATAAAACTGGGACTTTAGAGACAGGTAAAGACCATGCTCACTGTGCACAATATTTTAATGAAGATTCCTAGTCATCCAGGCATCCAGGCATATATATATATATATATATATATATGTATATGTATATGTATATGTATATGTATATGTATATGTATATGTATA